AGGTGTGACAAGAGGAAGTTGTCCTCTTGAGATGGGCTCCCCATCACCAAACTGCCACCCTTCATGTCTCTTAAACTGAAGACATTTATTTCTCATAGTTATGGCTCTGGCAGAGCTGGTGTCTGGCCAGGGCTGTTTTCCTGCACGCAGATGGTTCTTTACATTGTGTTTTTATGTGATAGAGCCAAGAGGCAGCTTTCTTGCACCTATCCTGTCAGCAGGAGGATCCTACCTCTAAACACCATCTTGTCAGCACATAAATTTGGGGGACAGTGCATGACAAGGTACTTGGCTCAGAGTTATATCTTGGGAATTTGGGCCTGGGTCAAACCATGGAGGCCCTTGGACTCCCTCTGTGTTTGCACTTCACTTAGGGCTCATCACCTGGGAGTCCCTCCATATCTGTTTTCACAGTTGCTCTCCTTACTGTGTTCATGCTGGGGGCTGGGCTGAGTTGGGGTAAGGTAGACATAGCCTGTAAGATTCTGGGGTTGGGCAAGGGAGGAGCTGCAACAAGCAGTGACTTGGAGAAGATCGTTAAAATATCTCCTGCTGCTTTGGAATGTCTCATGTCCTTTCCTTGTTCCTTGGAAGCAGATATTCTTAGGCTGAGGTTTCTGATGAAGACTACATTAAAGTGGACCACAGTGGCCCGTCACACACAAAGACAGGTTCTCAGAAGTGCAGACTTGTTTCCCTCAGTAGATCTGCCTCAAAAGGCATCGATCGATAAACATGCCCAGCTTCTTCTTGAAACACCAAGAGCTTCATTTTGAACTCCCACGGGTTCACGGAAATGCTGCTGACCTCAGAGTTCAGCTCGGCATGGAGCTAGCGGTTTAATTTTTTATGAGCTTTCTCTTCCTCCCCTCAGAAGAAAGGCTGAAATTGAATGGAGGAAGGCTCCTCCAGGAAGAATCAGCAGTCTAGGACCTCTGGGACAGAATTACCAGATGCTCATGGGAACTGTTGGGTAGAGGGGCTGAGGTACCCTCCCAGCCTGAGGTTGTGTGGGTCACTATCTGCATCCTGGGAATGGATGGGCACTTGGTGGTGGTGATTTGAGAAGCTTGCTGGGGAACACCACAATCTGGATGCTGGGAGAAGTGTTCTTGAGTGAGTAAAGGTTTGGACAGTGAGTTCCATCCCTTCTTGCTTCTCAAGGGCTTCATGCTGGCCTGGTGCTTCTTTGCCTCTGGAACTCCTCTGCTGGACCAGCACCTGGAGCATGCTGCTGTGCTTTTGTGCCATTTCCATCTTAATTTTTTTTTTGTTTTTGAGGCAGGGTCTCACCTTGTAGTTTGACTGGCCTTGAACTTACTGTATAACCCAGGCTGACCTTGAACTCTTAAGTAATTTTTGCCTCAGCCTCCCAAGTGCTGGTATTATAGGCATGTGCCACTGTGCCCAGCTGCTATCCCTCATCTTGTGAACAAGTCTCCTTATCCCATGCACTGTCAGCCTATTATCCACCACCTCTAGAATGCAGCAAACCTCTCTAAGCTCTTGAGTCATGTGTGTAGCCTCTTCCTCATCTGCCTCTCTTCCTCTCTGACCTTGTGCCCTGTCTGTCTGGTTTTGAGCCCCTCAGGCTGGCTCTCTATTCCTCATGCTGTGGCCGTGCTCCCATGGAAAGGGAGCCTCTTACCCACCTTTCTAGTAGCCCATACACAGTCCTGTCCTCACACTGTGCCTGTGTGCGTTCCCTTCCCTCCATTGCCCCTCATGCAGGCACTCTTGTGTTAGCTTATTGTCTGTTGTCCATCACTGACAGCTTTGCAGTGTGGGACCAGCAGCCTGGTATCTCTGTCAGGCAGTATGGGCGCTTGAGGGGGAGGCAGGGCCCTGCCCATTCATTGTTTGACCTGCCCGTGGGCCTCCTGCTTGCTTCTTGCTCTCTGTGCTCAGATACACCCTTCTGCGGGTCCTCTTGCTCTGCCCAGGCACCCTGTCTGATCCCAAGATGCTGTCCTGCTGTTCCAATGCTTTCATGTCCCCTCCACTCTGCCCCGACCACCCAAGGAGTTGTGAATGACTTTCGTAGTGCTGCCTATTTGATGTCTTCTGCCCAATTATGTCCTTGGCTGTGCTCAGCTTGCCTCCATCTTCTGTGGACAGGATTGGGGTCTGCAGTTGGCTGCCCTGACTTTGTGCCTCTCTTCTCTTGGCGAAATGGACAGTGTTTTGTTCTTGAGTGAATAAAGGTTTTTCTTCATAACCTGGCAAGAGAACTTTTCTATCTGAACCCAGCACTTCATTCCTGAAGGCTCTGTCTTCTCCCTTGGGTGCCAAAGAGCTCCCAGCTTGTGTACCTGCTTACAGGGTATGTTAGTCAGGGTTTCCTTGCTAGGTCCAAATGCCTGACATACACAACTTAAAGGAAAAGGGCTTTAGTTTTGCTAATGGTTCCAGATGATTGGGTCCATGGCAAAAAACAGCATAGTGGACAGGCATGGAGGAAAAAAGCTACTTACTTCACAGTGGGGAAGCACAGCAGGGGACTCATGCCAGTAAGAGAGATGCTGTCTAAAGGCACACCCCAGCTTCTGGAAAGGGAGTCTTAATATGTCTGTTTGCAGTTGGCAGATATATGGCAATTTGGTCTATTAATAGTTTTAAATTGAACTGAACTCAAAATAGCCTCTTAATATGTCTGTTTGCCTTCTCTATGTTGGGTGCACCACCTGAGGGCATTCGTCTGTGACACAAGTAGATCCATTCACTGATGAGTACACTGCCCCCCCCCCAGAAGTCTCAATCCAGTCAAGTGGACAGTTATGCTTGACCATCACAACTTATGTCCTTTTACCATCGTGGACAGGGGTGAAGAGCTGAGGTTAGGGCTCTTGGTCCCTGCACCCTCTGCTCCCTTCAGTGCCTGAAGCCCAGCTATAGTGTGTAGGTTTGTTGCCAGCTTACACCAAAAGGCAGGGTTCCTGGCCAAATCTTGCTACCTGGATCCATTACCCTGAACCCAAGTCCTTGGAACAGAAAAGGATGGTGGTTGTCATGTGACTGTATTTGCATCTGCTCTGGAGGGAAGGCCCTGTGCATGGGATGACCTCAGACAGATATAAGGATGTTGTGCTCTCGAGACCCAGGGCTCCCTGACCCCCTTGTGCTATGGACAGCTTGTCAAAGGAACCCCTTTCCCTCAGCTCTACCTGGTGAGCTCTGTCCGGTCACTTCCAAGGTAGCATTGCTGTGTTCTTGCTCCTTTGTATGCACGACTCTTACAATAGCACCGTGAATGCTGCCATTCTCCTAATTAAATTACCCACTTTGGAGCAGTGATTTAAAGCACTTGTGAACTTACCCACCTGAATTCAATGATTCAAGAGTCGATTTCACAGTTCTTGATTATTAAATTGGTCTATGAATAGTTTTAAATTGAACTGGAACTCAAAATAACCTCTTAATATGTCTGTTTGCAAGGAATATTTGTACTTGTTGTATTTTATGGTTTTGGTTATGGAGCTCCTAGAGGTGTGGGTGGCAGTTGGCTGATTCTTCAATTGATTTCCAAGGCCCTCTGTTGAGTGATATGTGGTGTCCTTGATGCTGGCACATGGGTCCCAGCATCTGTGGTCCTGTTGGCTTCTGCCTGGGGCTCTCCAGGTTTACTCAGGCTCCCCACAGTTGGTAGAACAGAACCAACATTTGCTTCTTTCTAAAGTTCTGTGCTTGATTCACATTCAGTTTCAAATTGTACTTAAGCTGCTCAAAGAGTTTTACTAAATTCTGATTTAGGAAAAACTTAGACTACCTCAGAGGAAAAGATTATCTGTTGTCATGGAGGTTTTGTTGAGATCCTGTAATCAAGGTAGCATTGCTGTTTGAATGCCAAGGATGATCTAAGACTCTAGATGCCCTTCATAGCCCCCGTCCCAAATTTCTGCATTTTCAAAGCAGCCTCACCGTTCTCATTGTTACCTCACGTGAACGTTAGAAATGTCACTTTACAGCAGCATCTTAATTCCTGCTTTAGGTTTTGAGGTTTATTTAGGATTTCCTTTTAAGAGAGGTTTCTACCATATGCATAGCACAAATGCTGTGTCCCACCACCATTTCTTGGCACTGCTTGAGGGGCGCTATCCTGGTTGGTCCTGCCCTCACTCTCCCTACATCCCTCTGTGGGTGAGCACATGTGAATGGGGTAGAGCTGGGGAGGCTGTCTAGGCACTGATGAGTCTTGTGATCAGCAGTGCTGGGCACGGGCCTTAGCCGGAGGACCAGCAGGCACAGAACTTGTGCTGGGCACTCAGCTGAGAGGAGTGGTGGCCTTGAGAGAGGCAGGGTGGTGGCCACATGCTGAGGGTGGCCTCCAACTGTTCTGCACCCTCTGATAGGGAAGATCTAGCCACCTCTGGTGTCTCAAGAGACTTGGTGCTGGAGGATCAACCTGTGAGGGTTGTTGGGAGGCTGTTCTAGTCTTCTAGGTAAGATCCTGAGGCAGAAGCCATGGGAGCAGAGAAGAAGAAGAGATGCTGAAAAAAGAGTTGGCAGAAATAATGGCTGGCTGTGGGGCAGGTGGGAGGGTGCTCAGCCCAGCCATCCCTCTGTTCTCTCCTGTGCCACAGTTTCAGTGCCAGTGCATGGCAGGGTTTCCGCTTTGCGAAGCATCTCCTGCCTAGCCAGCCTCCGCAGCACAGTCCCCCCCCCGCCCCCCCTCCCGCACATCTGTGCTGACTGTGATTCACACGGGAAGTGCTTGCGCTGGCAATTTAGCTCATTCAGAAGCCCCGTCCCGTAGCACTGTGTGGTTGACAATTTTTCCCATTGTATGTGGAGTTGAGCTTCCCTCCACCTCCTGCTGTGTGCTGGGATCACCCTGAGTGTCTATTTGAAATCCAGAAACTCCTGAAAGGCGCTAAGTAGCTATTCAGGAGTGAGGAAACGGCGGGGAGGTGGGCACACGTGCAGCTCTATTTTAGGATGTCCTGGACCCTGGGGACAGTGTGCCAGGCCTCACCGCTGTGCCATCTTGCTTTCCTGAGCAGTGCCCGGGGGCTGGAGAAGGCCCAGCAGCAGTTACAGGAGGAGGTGCGGCAGGTCAGTGGCCAGCTCCTAGAGGAGAGGAAGAAGCGCGAGACCCACGAGGCACTGGCGCGGAGGCTGCAGAAGCGTGTCCTGCTGCTAACCAAGGTATGGGCTCCTGAAGGGGCAGCCAAGCCATCTCTGCCTTGTCCACACCTGCCTTTTTTCTCTGTGACACATTAACTCTGTCCTAACATCTACACAGCCAAGTGTTGTGTTGTCACCTGCTGCTGGTGGTCTGTGTGTTTCTTGGGCAGAGTTGTGTGTGACTGCCTGGGAGCCATGACCAGGGCAACATGAGCTTTCTTCTCCATCCAGGAAGATGCACTGAGAAGTTTGGCTATGGTGTGTTGTTTTGTCCTCAAAATGCCACAGAATTCCCCAATCCAGTGTTCTCAGTGGACTCCACTCTGCTTGATCCCTCTCCAATATCCAGTGCCCCAGACCATTGTTCTCTGCAGGCTGCACATGTGGCAGGAAGGTCAACATTCTTGAGCCCTGGCAGGTAGGCAGCTATCTTTATTGCCAGAAAGTGCAGAGGAAGCTGGAGTTTTCTGGCCTACAGTGGTTACTTGTTTGCAGATGTCATGGGAACCATTCTGGTGTCTAGTTTTTTCTAATTGTTCTGGCCCAAAGGAGTTCTAATGTCAACACTTTAAACTGAGGTTGCAGCCATGAGTAGTTATCATGACCTAGATGTGGTGGCACATGGCTGTAATCCTAGCACTGGGGGAGGCTGAGGCAGGAAGATTTTAAATTCTATCCCAGCCAACTGGCTTAGTGACTTAGTATGACTGTCTCTGTCCCCAAAGGGCTGGGAATATAACTCAGTGTGAAGGCCCTGGATTTAGTCCCCAGTACGGTGGGGAAAAGTTGTGCGGGTGTTGAAATTTCAACAGACAAAGACGACAAGAGCCAAGCCTGTCCCCAGGTGCTCCTTAGGCAGGGATGGGCTATCCTGCTTGCTGGCATGGCTGCCCTGTCTGTGCTCACCCTAGCGCTTAGTGGGCAGAGGAGGCTGTGCCAAATGCCCCTCTCCCAGAAAGGGTGCAGCTGGGTGGTAACAGGAGCTACATCCATGTATGTCTCCTTCACTCGGTCACATTTGGGTGAACCGAGGACTGTGTTGCTGCTAGGACCTCCTGGTGAGTCAATGTTTAGGGAACAGGTTATGTTTCGGCTCCTACGTGCTGCTGTTTCATGACTACTTCTACACGTTCTTGACAGCATCTTTCTGTCTCTTAAAGTAGACCGCACATCTGCCTGGCATCACACTGGGTTTCCTGAGACATGGGTGGAGCCAACACCTTCTTCAGTGCCAGAGAGGGCAGAGTTCCAAAGTGCCTTAGCAGAGAAGGTGCATGCCCTTGGGTTGGACTCCTTTTGCTGGACTTACAGGGTCAGGAATGGGCCTCGCCATTCCTCCCTTCTTCCCCAGATGTCTGTCATGTGTCTGCTAGTGTCAGCATAGGTTCCTTATAAACATGTTCCTTATAGGACCAGGGGGGAAGAGGCCATAGCCACACTAAACTGCATATGCTTGCCAGCTGTGACAGAGAAGAGACAAACAGTGCCAGGATGACATGCAGGGAGTTGTCTGAGGTCAGGTTTAAGCAAAGACTTGGAGGATTTGCTGTCTGTGGGAACCTGTGTGGAGAATTCATGCTCTTCTGTGCAGAGCCATGAACAGGAGAGACGGACGCTTTTGTTTAGCTGCTGGTGTCAGCATGCAGACACATGGAAACAGACGGAGAAGCCTCCTGCCCTAGCAGCCTTGGTGTGCACGCCACATGGCTCCCTGTGGTGGTGGTGGGGTGCACAATGTGGGACAGTCAAGGTCATGCTGGATCCAGGGCACTTAGAGTCAGATGGAGATCAGGCTGTGGGGCAGGGTGGTGGGCCACTGAACAATGAGATCCTCGCATGGAGGCTGCGCTGTGGTCCCACAGCCGAGGCTGACCTTGCCCTATCAGCTCACAGCCAGCTCTCCAGGTTAGGAGAGCTGTTAGGCTCTCCAGGTCTCGTTTCCCTGCTCAGCAGGCTGGTTCTGGTCCCTGGGAACATGGCCATAGTGGTTCATTGCATCGGCTTATTGGTTCTTATTTGAGCTGTGCTGTCAGACCATCATTACAGAGCACACCACAGCCAAATCCATATCCACTGTGTCAGGAGGCTTTGCACTGCTCATGCTCCAGAGACGTGCTTCTGTGTGCCAGGCAGGAAAGAGCAGAGTAGTTACAGGAGGCTGCCAGGAAGGGGTGGGTGGCTCTGAGTTTGGCAGTTGACATGCAGCTCTTTTGGGAGAAGGGTCAGCTTCAGGCAAGGTGTCCTGGTATGCCCAGCTAACAATGGACTGCCTAGACTGAGGTAGCTTGTAAACATCCTGTTATAAACACATTTGTGTGGTACATTTGATAAAATTAATTAAACTGTGTTGTCTCATTATTAACAAACATCAGTACTTTCTTCAGAGTACTTTAGTTTTTATGAAATGCCTTTCTTTTTGGCTAGGATCTAGCTTTCCTACCATGTGACATTTCGTGACCCTATCTTCCTAGGCTCCTCTTGGCTCTGACAGTCACACTTTGTTCTTCATGATCTTGGCACTTTTGATCTGCCCCACCCCCACCCTGTTTAGATTTTCCTGATGTTTTTCTCATGATTACTTTGGGTTGTGGGCTTTGCAGGAGGATTGTAGAGAAACTGCCCTATCATCAACTCCTGTGAAAGGGCCATACTGTTACTGTGACCTACCATGGGCGCTGCTGACCTTGAGTACCTGGCTGTGCTCATTTGCCAAGTTTCTCCACTATAAAATCCCTGTTTCCAAGTTTTTCATGTGTGCTCTTCTTTTCTTCTAAACTACTTCATTCCAAGATTTATTATGCAATTACAGTCATCTTTTTGTTTTATTTTAGTTTGTTTTCTGAGATAGAGTCTTGCTGTGTAGTTCAGACTGGCCTTGAAATCGTGGAAGTCCTCCTGCCCCAGCCTTCTGAGTACTGGGATTGTAGGCCTGCACCACCACACTTGGTGTAACATGTGCTCTTCTGAAGCTACCCACACCTACTGGATGGGGAGATAAAGGTTCTCCCTGGGGGCAGAGGCTCTACATAAATTATACAGGATCTTTAACATGAGTGACTTGTCTCTTCTTCCCACTTATTCATATCAGATGGGCTGGTGGGTATTTATCTTAGGTTTTAGGCTTTAACCCAACAGTACTTTGTTCTATAGTTGTGACTTTGGGGTTCTTTCAGTGCAACCCTGGGTCTTTTTCATGTGTCCCTGTCATTATGGTTTCATGTGTGTGAGATGTGTTTGTTCTGAGCACTGTCTTAATTGTGGCCCTAAAAGACATTCTAGGTTACCCATGTCTTTCCTGTTCCAGTCCTATAGTCAGCTGTTTCTCTAGGGGTCTTTGGATCCTTTTGTATAGAGTAGAAGGTCTGGTGCTGTTGGTCCAGGCTCTCTCAGCCCAGAAGGGCCGGATGTGTATGCTTGCCAGCTTGTATACATGAACACCTGTGCCTCTATGGGATGTCTGCATCCACTCACTGGAGTCCACAGGAGTCCTTGCTTGGGTTCAGCCCCCTGTGTGCTGCTGCAGCCCCTCCCATCCCTGGGACCCCACTCCAGCAATGAGAGGTCTGGCTTCCTCCATGCATTTCCTTGGTGCGGACCTATAGCAGCATCTGCACTGGTCGTCTCAGCCTAGAAGTTTTTAGTTTTCATCTGGAATGCAGATTCTTAGGAAGTTAAAAGGTTTTCTGTAGCAGCACTCCTTACCCCTGGTAGGTTTTACATTTCTACAGATGCTTCTGGACCTACGGGAGTCACTTCCCAGTAGAGTTATCACAAGTTGAATGTACTATGAGTGGAAAATACACATAGCACACTGAAACTGCCATCTATCGCATTAGTCTACCAACCTGAAATGTGCCCAGAACACTGGGGTAGCCACAGTCAGAAGCTAGTCTGCCTCAGAGTTGGTCCCATGACAAAGCACTGACTCCCTCATGAACTTTCTGGAGGACTCTACTAAAAGTGCAGATTGGGGTGGTTGTGGGAGGTATAGGTCAAGGTCACTCCTCACAGCAGAACATCACTAAACTAGGAGCTTAGTGTTGGCAACATGTGTGCTCTGTGCTCTTCTGTCACCTCTGGATATAGGCACAGGCCTTAGCATCTCGGACTGCTGCCCACTGTGCTCATTCCCATCCTTCCCCCTATATTTGAGATGCCCTTTGTTTGCTGTTTCTGAAGCCTCTCGTTTCAACAATGTTATGTGAATGGAATCATGGAGTATATAACCTTTTGAGATGGACTTTCTTCAGACAGCATGGTGTCCTTGAGAGCCACCAGGTTACTGTGTGTTACTATAGTTTGTTCCTTTGTCACAGCTGAGTGGCACTTTGTGGCAGGATTATCCAGGGCATCCTAGGTGTTGACAAGGAATGGCAGGATGCTGCATGGTTTGCCACTATCAGTGTGAGCCATCTACACTGCTTCCATGTTGTGCTGGTAGAAACACAGTTGTGCTCAAGAGGGTGGTTGATGGTGCCAGCTTGCAGGCTGTGGCTTGCTGAAGATGTTGTAGGACTTCCTTCAGTCCTCCAGGTGGTCCTGGGATCTGGGAGGCAGGTTCCTGGGAAAGCTGGGTGACATTTTCTGCACCTTGCCTTGCCTGTGCTTGCAGACTAAGCACCTTTTATTGGGCTGTTGAAGAGCTCAGGCCTCAGTTCCTCTCAAGGCAGGACTTCCTGTCCCTGGGGTCTGATGCTGTAGGATGACACCACTGTTCCTCAGGCTTGGATATTGGCTTTCTGTCACTAGGATGATAACCATAGGGACTTTCAGACCTCCTAGAAGGGTGTGGTTCATTTCCTGGGTGCCAGTGGGTCTTGCAGACCTGATCCATCCCCACTGGGCACACACTTGGGGTTCTGGACTCCGCTTCCAAGCTCAGTGGGCTTGGCATAGTGTAGTTCCTTGGCTGTAGGTCTGAGGTACCGTGTCCTTGGCCCTGGATCACACCTCTGTACCCATTCTCTTGCTTCCCTCCTGCCCTGTCCACCTAGTGAGGGTAGGTGGAGATTCACCAGTCC